GAACTTCGGAGTTTATTAACAAAAGCACGATGAAACTTTCATCATAATTAATAGTATAGCTAGGTATATACCATCCTAAACTCCGCTCAACAATGTCATTATTTTTCACATTTTATTGCATTCACTATAATGCTTCACCAGTTTAATAATAATAATTTTAGTATAGTGACTGTTATTTAGTATCTATTGAATTACTAGTCGCCATTTATTAAATATCACTGTTTCTGTTTTAATATCAGTGTTTGTAATTTTTTTTTTAAACAGACATGCATTCCCAATCACATTCTTGAGTTAAAAAAAGAAATGCGTTGACATTCGCCATTCGAAATTTTCATAATGAATGCATTGGCATTCATATATTCACATTCATTAACATTTAAAATTAATTTTAATTGCACTTAAAAAAAAAAAATTGTATTTTTACAAATTCCACAATAAAATTGAACTCGAAACGTATGAAAAAAAAAAAAAAAAAAAATGAAAACATAAAGCTTTTGTTGTGCCACAGCATGTAACTTATGATGAACCACATTTCAAATTTTTAACATTTATACATACCAATAAAATCGTATCCACATAAAACCAAACAAGTTTACAAAAATCATTATAAATAACTTTATATATATATATATATATATATATACAATTTGGCACTCAATTTCCGTATTCTAGTATATATATTATTCTTGTATATTAAATTCAAAATATTCAAGGCATGAGAAGGTACGTAGCATAAAATGAAAAAAAAAACCCTACCACTATGATCTGTTTATACACAGATATAATATACCCATCGATATGAACAATTCGTGTCAAAGGGCCGTAGGGAATTTGTTCAAGTTACAAAAAAAAAATAAATAAAAAAAAAAACTTCATTAAATTGGAAATCCGACCGGCATTTATTTTTTATTCGGCTGAAAGTCCGCGATTTCACAATCGTCGTATTCGAATTGAAACGATGATGATGATGGTTATGAGATGACGATAATGATGATGATATAATTTCGAAAATAAGTTAATCCTCCTACCCAACCCAAAAACGCCTACACACACAACTTTAACCACTGATTACATTATTTTGTTTGCGAGTGTAAAAAAAAAAAACCCAAAGAGTTGAATAGTATTCGCATCGTTCATATTAATTCTTTTTCTGTCCCTCCTTATCGTACCTATAGAATATATATATAATACATACGGACTGAATATTATTATGATGTTAATGCCTGTGCTGTATACGCAGCGCATACGTATAGTCCCCGTGGACTGAAATCTGATACTTTTTTTATTATCCCATATTACCCGTATGTCCGCAATGCGATCATCGCGCTCGGCCGATATAGTATTTGATTTGTGACCGCGCTGAACACAAGCGAGCGGGTATGTTATTGTGCAAAGTCGACAAAACCTCTGCGAAAAGAGACGAATTGGGTCGACTCGGAACGCCTATATTATTATAGCAGATATATTCTGCATAATATTATGAAAAAAAAAAAAAATTATATATATACGACCTATGCTCGGCTAAACGATCCCGATAAGGTTCAAAATCAATGTTTGCGGTGTGCAATATTATAAGGACGATAATAATTTTTTCTCGGAGCGTATATTATTATAATATGGATTTCGTAAAGGAATTATCGTTCGGATAGCGAAAACGGACAACGAAACAATAAATTACAGGGGGAAAAGGATCCGATACTCGATAGGCGGAAATTTGAAAAGATATATAGGACATAGTATATATTTAGAGTGATGAAATTTGTTTAACTGTATGTGTACGCAACGATAAATTATTTCAAATTAAAAACCATTTTAAATGAAGTTTGGCTAAATATATTTCGGTATGTCTACTATAGATAAACGTCAACACGAATACAAACAATAGAATGTACGGAAAAAGTGTCTCATAACAAAAATATTTGTTATCATTTTACACTCGTTTTTTTATCGTCCAAAAAACCGGACTATTATTATTACCTAAGATGATAGACTGACAAAATATTTGTTTTTATTCGGGGCGGTCTTTCAAATTTTATTTCTTGAAGTGTAATAATACCGTTTTATAATTTCACGAAAAAATAAAATAAAATTACTATTTCACAAGCAATGATTTTAGGCAAATAACGCAGTTTGTATGTATTTTATTTATTTATTTTTTTTTTACAGTTCAAATTAACGCCAAACAAAAAATGGCACAAAGGTAAATCCTCGAAATGTAATAAGAAAAAAAATAAGATCCTTTAGTTTAAAATCAATATTGACAAAGATATTGTTAAGTTGTTACCTGTGAAACGCAAAAGATTATAAAAATTGTACAGGTATTTTAAACATTATGTATATTTTTATGTTTTTCAGCTAATAACTTTGTCAATATTGATTTTCTCCTTTCTAACCATAGGACCTTATTTGTTTCTTATTAAATTTTGATGGTTCACTCTGATGCTTTTTTTTTTTTCAGTGATAATTTAAACCGTAGTAAATAATAAAATACGTAGAAATTGGTTTATTCACCTAAAATCGCAGCTCGCGAACTGCAGGAAATAAGATTCGATGATATTGTTATACCCGTACAAATAAAATTTAAAGATACGCTCACGACAAAAGGAAACTTTTTTTTACATCCACATTGTTGTAGATTTACGTTGGTATTTACGATAATACAATAAGAGCAGCAGTTGATAATGGATTTTTCATAGGTATTTATCACGAAACGAAATATAAAAATAAACAAATATATTATATGCTTTAATATTATATAATAAATGGTATGATTGTAATTGACTTTTATGTTCGTGAGTTACTCAACGATAAAAAAAAAAAACAAAAAACATTATAAAAAGACGTATACGATTATTAGAAAAAATACGAAATCATTTAGTGATCGACTTATTGGTCACCCCTAACAAAAGACATTCGTTGTCCCGGAAAGTATTTCTTTTTTTTTACAACAATGTTATAGTTAATATTCTAGTCGAACTAGTATTGTTAATTATTTATACACGAGTATCAAATATTATGGCTGCATTCATACAAGCTAATATTAAAAATAAAAATAAAATATTATCAAGTATTATTTAACGAATTTAAAAATGTCCTGTTAACTATCTACGAACCGAAATGTTTTTAGAATTTATTTAGCTTTCTGTGCACGAGTACACCGGGTTACTAGATTATTTCACAATTATATACAGTCGGAACTTTGGGCCTTCCTAACGTGTTGTTTAACCACGTATTTTTTGCAAAGATTTTCGAAAGGAAGCGACACCGTACTGCGTATCCTAAGGGCTGCGTATAGGCAATTTTCATGCAATTTTTAAACCGAAATAGTCGAAAATCTTTATACCAATTCAAAAAATTATCCATTTTAAAAGAAAAAACTATGTTTTTTATTTTTTTTTGGTCCACCCTAATGCGCTTTATGTACGTAATGTGACGTATCTACCTAATACGCGTGTAGTATTACGCAGTTAGCCGTTTTATTAATTTATTCACGACGGAAATAACAATATAATAATAACAATATGCAAAATCTAACAACCGTATTAAGCACGTATATTATTATAATTTTATATCAAATACGTATATATAATATTATGTTTATGTACGTATTATGGTACGCACGAAAATAATAATATATGGGTCATGTGAAAGACCTCATTATGGTCATGTCGCGTACAGCAGCGTATATAGTGGAAACTTATTAAAAAAAAAAAAGACGTGAAATTCTTTTGTTTCTTCACCCCCCACACCCCCATTCAAAAATCGATTAGGTACATAAAAAATTAAAACGCATTCTTTATTGCCGTCGTCGTCGTCGGTCGGTCGGTCGGAATATATACGCGACATTTTAAGCCTCTCTCCACGGTATTAACGATCGAGTGTGCGCGGCTTTTGCGGACGGGGTGAAACGCGGACGGGTCTCGGTATAAAGTGTAAGTATATATATATATATATATATGCGCTCATTAATAATTTATAAAAATATATCTAAAAGCCTAATACTCCTGTGCGGTTTGAAGTATGTGTGTGCAGCACTCGCTATATACATATATATCACATGTAATATAATATATTACATGTGAAAAGTATTCAACGAGAACTATATCGCGTGTATCGCGTATATTATATTATTATTATGTACACGCGGATATACAGGGTGATCGACAAGACGCAAGTCCCTTGCGTTTTCTCTGTTCCGGACGTTTTACGATTGTACAGACGAACCGTTACGGATTTATATGGCACGACAAACTGTACGACACTGTGCCACAGCTATCAGCTACGACAGACGGTCGTATACGCGAGTGAAACGCGGTCGCTGCATACCGAAGGAAATAGCAAACGCCTAATAATTACCACCTTCGAAAAGAAGGTGCTGTGAGAAACGGGTTTGGCGTTAGGGGTGGACGACTATGGTCTACGCCTGCTTTAAGTGGAGCGTATAAACGATAATAATTGTACTTGATCAATTGGGAGGAGGGGACATGAAAAAACATGATTCTGCCCAGGGTTCTAATATATATATATATAGCACTGGGCACTGCTGAAAAACATATACGACCCAAAATATTATAAAACGCAGAGTTGTGAACCTATGATGAGAGAAGAAAAAAAAAATCAAGAACTACAAGAGTTATATAACAGGTCAAATATCATATTGAATATAAAAAACAAACGTCTAGAATGGTTCGGTCATGTCTGGAGAGCGGATGGACAATTGATGAAAGAGGTTTTAGTTAACAAAATAAACATAAAAACGTCCATTAGGAAGACCAAGGACCTGACGGATGGATGTTGTAGCTTAAGACATCAAACATATAAAAGAAAACTCGACTTATGACGAGGCGTACGATAGAGAGAAATGGAAAGGTTTTGTGATGGTAGCGATGGCTATTCAACGGGCAATCAGCTGAAGGAAAAAAAAATAGCGCGTCGAACACTGTTGTTGTGGATCGAAGTTGTTTACGTAGGGTTAAACTACTTCTTACAAAAATGGCCCAAGAAATAATTATTCTATCACCCCCCTTCAAAAGTTATAAGGCGTCCCCATTTTTGTTCATTGCTTTCTATCGCCAATGCTTTCCCATAGGAGTGTACTCACTGATGACAGTTCATTACGTCTGACCAATAGCCCGTGTTCTACTGAGGCCTTTGACAGCATATTACAGGCCCCTAAAACAACCTAATGCGATTCTTGACGGCATACTGAAGGCTCTTCGATAACATAGGAACAATGACCCTTCGATAGCGCAGAGAAACCTTTCGGTAGCGTACATCGACCCTCCAATAGCGTAAAGCGACCCCTGACAGCGTATTTCCAGCCCTTCAAATACTATTCGACAGCTTAACAGAACAACATAATCATATCTCGAGTTGCATTAGACTTGTTATGTTGCTTATTCGAGTTATTGATTTCGATCATATGTTTTGTGAAAGGCCATAAAATTCACGATTTAAAAATAATAAATTTTATAAATTTATCAGTAATGCCTCCGTTTATTCTAATCTATTAAACTCCTGGGAAATTTAAAAAAAAAAAACGATCATTTCTAAGTTGTCAAATTGTAAAAATTCCTTGAAGAAAAAGTGCTATACTTAAATATTTGGAGAGGAATTTCTGGTAGAAAAGTTGTTCACAAAAAAATAATTTATGTAAATAAAAAAAAACATCATTGTAAAACCAATACACACTTCTCGCTTCGCTCAGAATCTAAAATAAGATCGACACGGAATAACGGATATGTAATATTTTTGAGCTATTTTTTGTTTAAACTATAAAAAAAAAAAAAAAATTGACAAACGTTAATACTTTCCGAGATAATGACGGCCTTGGAGAGGATTTATCACCTTGTATTTTATATATAGCATCGAAGTGTAGACATAATAGTTGTACTACCTCGGCGGACTGCATTAGGTCGCACAATACCGTATATAATATAACCTAAGGTTTAAACATTGTTATAATTGGGGATGACAATTTACGCATCGCTCATGTAAACTGTATAATTGATAATGGTTATTAGGTAAATAACGTACAAACTATACCTACTGGCTATCCATTGTGTTTAAACGGAGATAAAACCGGGGGGGGGGGGTATTGAATAGGAAGATATGAAATTGTAATAATTCGTGTGTTCCTCGTTAAAAAATTTTACTCATCTGATGTTCAATCTGACCGGACATCGGATTGATATTGGAGGAATACTGTTTTTGTTAAATTTGTTAGCATTATAGCCTGCGTTATCAACATATTATCAGAGAACCATCATTATTTCGCACTTTCAGCGATTTTATTTACAAACCACATAACTAAAGAGTAAAAATGGATAACACTATAACAACGTTGTCTCAATTAAAACTACATAAAAATAACAACAACAAAATAAATGTTAAGATGTGCCTTGCGTTATTGGTAAACAAATACTAATTGGAAATTGATCTGACAAAATATGTATTCTTAGTTAAACAATTAGTTAAGTTTGAAAATTGAAATTAGAGTAAGGTCTAAGAACACAACGGGTGAAGTAGAAGTTTGTAGGGTGAATTAGGTAGGTAAATTTATTTTATTATCAATATTTATTAATTCATCTATTGATAATAAAACTTATCAATCCATCATCCAATATCTATCAGATTGCTAATCTGATGAATTGAAAATCTAATGATGAGGAACACCTGAATTGTACATAAGTATATTATCATCATAATGGTATGTATCACACGTAAATTTGGTCGAAACGATAATACAGAAGTCATTCGCACCGAATGACACAAATCGAATACGATGAAGTTTTATTATACTATACCGAACTATACGTGACGATCCCGGTGTCACAGTATTTTAATACTCATCAAATTATTAGCCCAGTAGGTATAAATCGCCTCTAGGGAAAATCGCCGTCAGTAGCAGGCGATTTTTACCCCATGTGTATTATTACCTTGGTGGTTAGGAATCGCCAAAATTAATGTAATGATTTGTATTATATTAAAATTCATTAAATACAAATAATAAATTGTATTCATTGTTTGAAAGACGATGTTTCAGATTATATTATAGCAAAACACCTTCCGGCAGGATAAACCCTTGATTAGCCAGCCCGAAGAACACTTAACAGACCACGAACTGGAGTAGGTAGAATAAAAGATAATCCAAAAAAGTGGGGCGTAATACAATGAGACGGCAACCACAATCACAAAATGTGATCGTGGACACGAACATACCATGCAAAACCAATTGATCTGCCCAAACTGCCCTACAACATGCACCACTGCGGATCTCCAAACAGTGACAAAAAATGCAACCAAAGTGGTGAAACATTGGGAAGAAGAAATATAATTATTAGTAACCAACACAGCCAAAAATCACCATATTCACCTACCTAGTTTTAAAATAGCTAACTCATCTGTGATTTATATATATATATTTTATTTGTCTTTAATTTTGACTTTATTCTGACTCATGTTAATGTTTGCATTTATACTTAAATATTCATATGGAAGCTTTTATTCATACAAAATACTTGTGTAAACATGCGGTTGTTTGACACGAACATAATAATAGCACTGAATATTATACAATTACAACTGCGCCGTTCTGATAGAAATCATTTAGTGTTGCGAGAATTATTATTTTACGATAAATTCGATAATAACGCGCGTAATGTGGGCATAATAATATATACGGTATTACGACTGTGAACGTGGGCGACGGCCGGGGGTTGACGGGCCCGCGGCCGAAACGACGCGCACGCGGATAGAGCGCGTCACCCATCGCGGGCCTCCCGACGAAACGGAAAAACCGCCGCCGGTTGCGATTCCGCGTATACCGGCCGGCCGTCTGTAAAAACCGCCGCCGTTGGCGAACAAAAAAAAAATCTTATCGCCGGCGACTGCAGTGCAAAATATCTACCGTATAACGACAAACACTACACGTATTGACAAAAGCTCGTTGAATTTTTCGGGGAACCTATTGGCAGTGTTGCGTTCTATTGCCCTCGGCCTATTGACCCCCTTTGAGCGCACTACGTATTTCTCGAGATGAGATTAAACAGGCGACCATTCGCTGGTAAATAAAACGTCGTCTGATTCGATTTTAATGCGTCGTTAAGAATGCTATCACATTTTACGTTGTATTGGGTACTCACCGAAACCGTATTCCACGGATACCACAACCGCCGCCGCCGCCGCCACCGTAGCCGCCGATTCTTGTCGAACGTTTATCGCAACGACCCGCGACACCGCGTATTCCGTACGCAGTCCGACGCGTTTACCGTTAACGAAAATATTATAACGCGAAGAACAGTTTAAGAACATCGAAAATAACACTCGTTCACGCACGTGCGAACCGTTAAATTATAACGCGCGCACGAGAAAAAAAAACACAATGGCGAGTTTGCGGGCTCGACCGTGTCCCGTCGAAAACTTGAGTGATACGAGCGAAGACAGGGAGTACGTCGACCGCCGCCGGTGTTTCGTGACGAGATTCATCGATGGATTTCCGGGAGCGGCCATCGGGTACGAAACGACGTGGCCAATGGGGGACCGCGGGCCGAACGGTACGCGACGGTTGAACGGGCCTGTCATGCGGTTAGATTAGGTTGGTTCGGCCGGTCGCCAGTGTAAATCGGCCCGGTGAGAAAATTATTGCCACGGGCATAATCGGTCACACTGCAAGTCGCGGATCGAGATCGGGGCCCACGACCGCGGTATGGTTACCAACGGCGTCTTTTCCTACCGAACGTTCCGAAACGGCGGACCACTGCGTCAACGGATGCGTATCTAAAATCGTCGTCGGAAACGGCTGCCGGTATCGCGTTTTCGTGTGCGCGCATGATAATTTTTCGGAATTTGTTTTATTTTTTTAATGTTTCAAAGACCGTGTTCTTTACGGTAAAACTGTGCGATCGCGTAACCACGTCGCCGTAATCGTGCGCCGAGAGCTGAATGATGGCGGTAAACGCAAATTCACGGTGTCGTCGTCGGTGAGTGAGTACGTTATTATATTTAAAACCAAACGGCCGAGGTTTTTATCGGTTTCGACAGTTCCTCCCGAGTCCGTGCCCGACATCGGTAGGCGACCGGGAGGGAGGGTTCAGCAGTATCGCCCCCTCCCCGACCTTTTAATATAGTTAAAAAATAATTTCTACGGTGTGTGGAACGTTGCTGGTAAACTGTGTAGTCTTAAAATTATAACGAACCGATCCGATCCTACGTTGCCGAGTTCCTATAAGCTGGCCTCGGTAATTATACCAAGGTAATTACTATTTTTGTTTTGTCGGTTTGTCTTATCTTTCACTGACAAAACTTTACCGGTGTTTAACATTAGAGCATGCATTGTAGAGTGATATTTAGTTTTTTTCTAAACTGCGCATACCGAAGTTTGCCTTTCCGTTCGACTTACATTGAAATCGTTATAGCCACCCCGGTGTGCTGCGCTATTGACCGGTACTCGTTGCTCGAGGCGGTACGAAATATTATCGTTACGGGTTTTTTTTTTTTTTTTTTTATTATTATTGTAATCGCTTTAATAGACCAAGAGTGGTCAAGTACGTTATAAATACAAATTTTAATAACCGTAACCCGAACGAGAACCACAAATCCCAATATAAAACCCCGGCGTCGGCGTGCTAAACTAATTGGAGACCGCGGTTAAACTACATTTTTTTCGGGGGAAAAATTGATCATCCCTCCCCCAAAAAAAAAAAAACCGACTACTCCGTTGTCCGGGACAACTATGACATCATGTAAAACCGTCTCCATTGCAATGGGATGGTACATGGGCCTTCTCACGAGGTGGATATAGAGGGTGGGACCACCATAGCTTTTTTTTTTAGGTTTCCTGTTTAACCGATATTTAGTGATAACAATCAAATTAATACATATAATCAAAAAACATTTTTTTTTGTCTCGTTATCATTTGCCACAATATTCGTATACAAATTACACCGACCGTGTTTGTATTTTGTGCGTCTACGATTAAGGATTAATGGCTTTATCGCGGTTTTGATTTTATAATCAGCTGAGTTCATATTTATATATTAGATATAAACAGTATATTAATCGCACGACACTACCGCCGAGAAACGATGAAATCGTCAACATATTTGTCCGGGTAGTTATTGCTGTTATCGGTCGTTTTTAGTAAAAAAATTATACAGATTATAGTTTTTCTACGTGCCTATCTAATTAGGTGTTATGAACAATATTAATTATGTAACCTATTTAGTACAGAGTACACAATTCGATTTAATCAACAGTCAATGGTAACATAGCAATGAATACAGGGGAAATGGATCTTGTTAAATAATAATCAGCTCTCCTTTAGGTTTCTAAACATGTTTACTATTATTGCAAGTATAACGGATCAAACATCAAATCCGTTATTGTTTTTACTTAGATCCCGGGCTCCGTCGTTATTGTCATGGCGTCCACGAACACCCGTACGAAATGGTTCCGTATAGAAAAATGGATACGCGGGACAGTTTTATGTTACGCGACTCGATTATAAACGTAAAACTGTGTGCGTGCCGCGTGATGCGGACATTTCTTTTATAAACACGAAAACCGTACTCGTATTGTTTTTCTAGAATTTTTATGTTATCGTAATTGATCCGTTCGGCCAAACAATTTATCCGTAGACAATATTTGAATCGATGCGTTTCGTCCGAACCGTGTTCGCATTCCACGTTTATACAATATTTCGTTAATTCATATTATACATTTATTAGTTCAGCGATTAAACGTCAGCCGGCTGACAAATTATTGCGGGAAAATCAACAGCGGATACATTATACGAACCCGATACATTTGGCATTTCACAGTGATATCTTAAAACGAAAAAAAAATAAAAATAAATGTGAATATCCTTTAAAAATACCATACACCAGAAGAATAACGTACCAATCCATCGTATATTTATTGACGTTTGATTTATGGGCACGTCGTTCGACGATTTTTTTTCTTTTTTTTTTTTTTCTTCAGTTTCTCTAACGGTTCGACTCTGCGACCGGGAATAAATATACGATATAATACAACGTTATATTTAAACTGAAAACGAATTTCGAAAATCGTTGGTTCTTTGATAGTCGTTTCTAATATTGCGTACACCGTAACGACTAGCTGTTGGCTATACCCGCGGTTGGCCCTTCCGAAAAGATAACAACCCCTCGACAAAAGGTCCTAACAATCAATTAGCCTTTGCTGTGTCTATAACGACGACCCTATCGCTCTACACCGCCGCCCCCGTCAGCTGCTCAACAATCAATTGAAACCCTATGCGAATCGCCGTCTCTCCGTTTTTATCCGGCTGACTTTTTCCGGACACTCGACGGATAATAATTATTATTATATTCATTTGTACTTAATAATCGTTTATTATTTTTACAACATCATATTTTCGTCTGTATTATTTTAGCGCTTTGATTTCGAGTTTGAATAATCATTGTTGTAAAATATAAAGACGGGGATGTCGGAACAGAGACAACAACAACAACAAAAACCGTAAACAATTTCAATCTATAATATCTTATAAAATGTATAGACATAATATTATTTCGAGGCATTTAAAATTGAAACACAGATGTTAAAGTTCACTGTATCTTCTATTGTATACGCGCAAAATAATTTTAGAGTACTGCGATGCACGGCGGAATTTTCGGAAACTAAATATTATACTCTAACACTTCACCCAATCGCAAAGCACAATATATTAATCTAAACATGTTTAGGTAAAATTATATTTGACACAATAACGATAACTGATATTAAAACAACTTTATTTTATTTTTACTTTAATAGATTGATTTATTAGCATACCCCACACGCGAAATGTTTAAACCTTTTAAACTCAAGAGGGTTGAAAAACACTTATTTTCGTAAGCTTTTATAGCCCCTTTAAGGTCTTCGATGCTTTGACTTTTCCCACCATTTTGCCCCATTTCACTCTTCTCTAGCGCCGTTCCTCGTGCATACCTGTTAAGGTCCGCTATTAAAATATCCATACGTCTTTGCCGGGACGGCCTCTGGGTCTTGTTCAGTTGATTTTACCTAAAATTACTTGTTAGACAATGCCATTATCCTTATAAATAAATATTTTATCCACTATATATTCGTTTACTTACGACTAAAATGCTTTAATATTGGGTTTTTGTCATTTTTGAAATAGCTGATAGATTAATTATAGTAACCGAATACCGAAATAACCCAATATTACACTAGGTACTATAAACTAATTCCAAAAGATGGCGAAATATGAACATTTGTTGGTGGGCGAAGAGTTAAATATGACTTTTTAGTATTTTAATTATTAAACGATTTATACCAGGTTTTAAATATTATATTAATAAAATTGGCCCGAGTACGTTATTAAATGCAACGCATCGATATTTCATTCAAAGTTCTGAATTCAATTCTTAAATGAAGCCATTTTATAAATTCAACTATAATAGGTAGGCATATTATATAACTATTAAACAATTTCACTACGAACCATTAACACTGTTCGATCGGAGATCGTTTTTCAAAAAGACTCTATGAATATATTTACATATGAATGTATATTCTATAATTTATACACTTATACACAGAGTGGTTACAATAATAGTTATGGGTTTTACGTATTTGGACAATAATATTACAGAGCAAATCGAATTGTGTTAAAAACGCGATAGAAATTATTACAGTCTCGGCATAATATTATTTAATATTATAATATTCAATTTTAAATTTACAAATCGATGGAGTCAGTCTGTGCCTGTTTTATATTATTATCTATGTATATTTATATAGTATATCAGCGTTGTTAAACCGCCGAGCGGTGAATAATTTTGATTGGATCACCCTAATATTAAAAAAAAAAATGTTTTAAAATTAAAACATTTTAAAAAAGACGAGAGGTTTACACAAGCGGTTGAAACTTGACGCTTTTCTCTGAGTGCATTTTATCCGATAAATGACAACACGAAAAATATAATTCCATTTATATGTAAGGAAATACGACTGCTGTAGAATATGTAATAAATTGAAAGCTAATCCGTTTAAAGGAAATTTGGGGGGGCAGTGACCCCCAACGTTAAATTTTAACATTAGTTTAACGCGTGAAAAATTGGGTAAATACTTTTGTTATTGTTAGTTATTTGATTGCGATGATTTATCGATACCTTTAGTACACAATACAATTACCCTATATCTTTGTCAACTTTGAACAGTGGCCTACCGCGTTAATATTACAATGAAGAATGTGTACGAAAAATTAAAATAATTTCGTTTTCAAAATAATAATTTTAGAAATAATAATAATAATAATAATAATATTTTTAAAAAGTGAATACTTTATAGTTCGTCCAAAGATTTTACTGGTCCTATGAAAATAATTTCCAAATATAGTCTTTGTCCAAACATAATATGCATCGAATTGTTTAAGTCGTTACGGTATTATACCTAGGTTTTTTTTTATTTGTATAGCTTGTTATATCTCTATAATTTTTACTGATATATCAGTCGTACATAGTAAATCGAGAGGAATAAACTGTTATACAAGTACGAAAATAATATTAGTATACTCAAATGCGAAAATTAGGTATATCAAGTACATACAATTTATCATCTTAAGACTGAAGAATGGTAATTTTTCAATACATACAAATCGAACATTGCTCGCGTGTTTATAACTTTGTTTTCTTATTATTATTTAATTTCGAATATGATATCCTTAAAATATAACAATTAAAATTACTTCAAAACACCGCGTGCTTACTAGAAACTTAATCAACTCAACTTCAGTACATGTTGTCGTCGTCGTCGTCGTATTCGTTGTTTGAATGAACGATTATATTGTATCCAATATTTACGCTGCTTTAAAATTTCGTTCCGACGACGTTTATTTACCAATGATAAAGTTTCATACATATACATACGAGTATAATCGATTATTTAATATAAAGTCTCGTATCTCCTTCCATTTATTCTCGCCAAGCTAATAAATGAATACGATACATTGAGAACGGGGGGTTTTTTTTTTATTTATTATTATTATTTAAGTGACATAGTGTACGAAGGCGCCTTTACGTATTTCTCTAACAAATATCATATTTTAAAAGTAAAAGATTGGTATATATTATAATATTATAGAATAAAGCGTACGAACAATTTCGTATAACTGCAGCAGTATAAAAACCGATGGTTAAAATTTCTTGCCATATTATAGAATTTACTAATTTCTGTAAATACAGTCTCGATAAAGATTATACGGTAAAAAATGGTGATTTCGTCCGATACTAATAACCATGGGCGCAACAAGAGCCTAAATATTTGGGGTGCTAAAATTATATAACGAAAAATATCCCGTAGGAGCTATGCTCCCACCTTCCCAAATACCATCTCTCAATTATTTATGAATCACAATAACTATTCTAAAATGAAACATATATGCTATATTTAAAACACTTTAATATGTAATATTCAGTAAAATAGTAGGTAAACGCAATAAGTGAACACGGACATTCGATTGAGTAATGAGTAACTCCAACAGTCGACAGTCACGAAATATTTTAAATTAATCGCATGATGAGGTCGATAAAATTTTATAATAAACTCATGAGAGTAATAATAATATTATAGTAATATATTATTATCAGTCCGTCGCCGCACATATCTATAATGTATATAGTGCTTTTTTACGTGACCCCACAGGTATATAAAACAATTAGATATCCCGACTGCTATAGTCTATAGTATATACGTATAAAATAAAGTCGCCAACAAAATGATCGCCAATCGTTATCTAAGACGTCTATGTTTACACATTAAACTGATATGATAAGCGATAAGATACTATTTTGGAACTTTACTATACAATGTACATAATATTTAACCTTTACAGGACATGGGATATTATCACATCGCATATTATAATATTGTTTCTTATCAATACTATAAAAAATAAACATTCACCTCTTAGATAAGGATGGCGGCCATTTTTTTTTGGCGAAAATAATCATACTAAAATCGGCTATTCAGTTGTTTTATACATCTGCGTGTGACTCATTGTCAAAAATAACTCTCAAACAAATGGTTTCTCCGTTACGATATTTAATAAAATATATCATCATATTCATAGATTATATTATATGACATTTGAACAAAATAGTTCTAAATAAAACTTAAAAACATAAAATTGATGGTATTTCTCTGTAACTATTATTATAGTTGGACCTAAAAAAACAAGGGGTGCTAAATTTGAACTCATAGTTGGTAAAGAATCTCTTGCGTCCCCCCAGTCGCATCACTGCTAATGACTGATAGGATACCACATTGCATGTTGCTTAAACAAATTATTCTAATTTCTCTTTGAAGGCCGTAGATTCAAACTCAGGAGACTGCAAGGATTGTAGATTGGTTTTTATTAGATTGACTATTAAATAATTGATTACTCTAATAACAAATAAAATTCCGATAGACATATTAACATAGATATTGAATAAATATTGTTAAAGTTATTTATGACCAAACCAACATTTTTTATCTACTTTTTTTTTTTGTTTCATTTTTTTTTTTTTTCATACAACTTACCTATTAACATCGCATTATGCAGATTGATCGTAATAGTAGTATTATTGCTACTTACTTATAATATAAGTATTATAATAGTATCAACCATGGACATTATTTGAAACAAATATTTTATAATGTTCAACATAGACCTATAAAATTATAAAGATACATATAGGTATAATACATTTATAAAAAATTCTAGCTGTCCCGCGCTCGGTATTGCCAGTGCCGATTTTTCATTATTTTTACCTTTATTCCCGTTTTGCTTTGCCTGTATCAGTTTAATGAAAGGAAAAAGTTGAAAACAGGTTAATGGCAAACTAAAAGTGTTTTAGAATTATGAACATATAATAGTACGGTAGTAGTGTATTATTTTTACTGTATGATGTTTTACGTGTTTTCACTTTTCACTTACCCACCCAGTACAGCGCATAATTTATTGTTTTTTTTTCGATCCATTGTTATCAATTTGGTGCATCCTATTTCAAGCCAATAATAGACCTGCAGAGAGTCAGATAGACTCTTTATTTTATGTTTTTATAGTTTTTATAGCATTTTTATTTTTATCTATTATTTATTTATTTTTTTTTCATTTCATCCGTGTAAATAAAGTAACCCATAATTCAACAAAAGTAAATTCATTTTCATACCGAGAATACCTAAGAATCTATCACCCCTTTCTAGGTCATTAATCGACTATTCTAAATTTTTCATTCAAATTTATTTAAACTAAATACTCCATCTATTTACGGAATTTTTAATATAAGTTCTCATTTGAAGAACCGAAATTGGTATCGCCTCACGAAACTCCTTAAATATTATGAAAAATCTAAGTACTCGAAAATATTATCTTTAACTACACTTGAAAATTCCAAAAATCAGAATTTGAATACTTGCAAAATGTGACCAAAATTAATATGGGGTGAACACGCTTAATGAATCACTCTGTATATGTATATAAATATTATATTATTATTATTTGGTAATATATATAAAAAAAAAAAAAAATTGTTCAAACGCCAAAATTGCTTGGTAACATTTTATTAACATTGCGTAAGTACCTAACCTATATATTATTACAGTATGGTTAATGGAATTAGTAAATAATCGTGTGCCCACGCATAAAAGAAAATGGATAAACGGGAATTAAAAAAAAAAAAAAAAAAAAAAAANATGAAAAATCTAAGTATTCGAAAATATTATCTTTAACTACACTTGAAAATTCCAAAAATCAGAATTTTAATACTTGCATGTGACCAAAATTAATATGGGGTGAACACGCTTAATGAATCACTCTGTATATGTATATAAATATTATATTATTATTATTTTGGTAATATATAAAAAAAAAAAAAAAAAAAAAACAACGCGATATCTAACGTCGCGCAATCCAATTATCTAATTAATAGGAAATTCTTTCCGTTTTGTTGTCGGGCAGACGGGTATTGGTGGGAACGCGCGCGCGTTATAACGTATTTGAAGTCGGACGAAATTAAACTTAAACTTTCAATTACAACGTCACAATAATGGTAATCCATTGCGTTATTCGCCGGGCCGTGTAAAACGAAAAAATATATACCGTATTGGTAACTTTCGAACGGTAATATTGCGAACACGCACGTCAAATGGTCATAGTGATTATTATACTTTCGTTGCGCTTATTTATACGATTCCGGCAGAGGTACGTATAGTACCTGCGCGGCTATATCACGTTTTTTAATTTTCGGATCGCGGCGCGTATACCCACCGGCAGGTACCGTCCCGAGCGCCCGGTTTCGAAACTTTTCGTTAATTAATTAACGATCGGGTACCTGTACGCAATTATTATACCCGTTGCGGTTACTATTCGCGGACAGATAGTGCGTTATCAAACGAGAATTGTATTGTACCGTATGTATATATATATATACATATACCAACGGTTCGGATCGATTGCACCGTATATACCGCACAGAAAACTACGGTTTTAACCGCGTTCGTGTAAACAACGCAATGACACGCGATGCCGTTATTACATTGATTGACGGGCGAAAATTGTATTATTCCTCCCCGTCGTACGGTGTACAGAAACAACAAACAATTATTATTATTATTATTATTGTCGTTGTCGCCGTCGTTACAAAATATTAAAGACAAATATTATATAGGTACGTCATCGCGACGTATATAGAATTTAATTTCGCGATCCATTAGATTGTACAATGACCGTGTAGTGCTGTGTTATAGTTATACACCTACACCGCGGATCAGGAGTTCGAACGAAATAAAAATAATGCAGTAAAGCGCTGTATTGATGGTGTTTATAATGAATATTTTGGGGTTGCGAAAAAGAAATTAGATAAAAGGAATCGACACGCAGACGAAAATAGTGGTTCGTCTAATTTACAAACTTTACATAAATCAGATAAATCAATTTAATGGTGAAATAAGATGAAGACAAATTACCCGGATGAATAGAAATAATTATATTTCGTACGTCAAGGATAAAAACAAAATCTGATTTAAGTTATTCAATTAATTTCAACCTAATTTTAATTGTAAAGCAAATGGAAACAGTTTTAACACTTCTTCTTGTTCTTTGGGCATAACTACTTTTTGAAAGTTTTGGTCGCCAAAACTACATAACGCCAACTATCCCTGACATGAACTAGGACCCTTCAGTTCACCACACCCAAACGTTTCAAATTATCCCTTACACCATCCAAATATCTTTTCCTGGGTCTGCTAAGAGGGGTTTTTTCCTTGAGATACCCATTCGAGAGCTGCACTTTCCTTCCGACGCATAATGTGTCCATGCTAGTGAATCTACTGGCCTCTAATAAAATTCGGTTCAGTTCATTCTTTCAATTGTACTCATTGAGGTCCAGGCCTCACACCCATACGTTAGTGTTGGTCAGATAATAGCCACATAAAGCCTACTATTTGTTCCTTTTGAAAATATCTTAGAGTTAAAGAATTTCCTTAGAATGTAAAAAGTTTTCCCAGCTTTATTCCGACAGATGTTTATTTCTTTTTTCTAGTAATTTATTGTACTTAGCGCTGCATCTAATTATTTAAAATTGTCACTTTTTCGAATACACATCCTTCACATTCTTTGGAGTCCTCCAGATTCTTATCCACTGTCAAAATTTTATTATAATTGATCTGTAGATCGTCGTTACTTGCTTCCTTTTCTTATAGTCTTGCTAAATTGCTAATGTCTTTGAGTTGTTCACCTATAACGTCTAAATCATCTACTAAGAAGAGGATTCGTTAGGTGCTATGTTTAATCGATAAGCCACTTCACTTCGCTGAAGCTCTCTTACCACCTTTTCCAACGCTACGTTAAACAGAATTGAAGAGACCGCGCCTCCTTGTTTTAGACCCGTTTCAATATTTAAAAAAAGATAAAATATATACAATATTAAACAAACATTATTAAAAAAAATAAAATATGCTGCATGTGTTATGCAATTATTTTACTGTAATAATATGAAAAAGCAACACTATCAACCGAAATCTGCTCATAATTTTTTTTTTCGTTAAAAATGGTTAATTGCTGCTTACAAGTATACATAAAATAACCTATAACAGTGGCTGCACCCGTCTTATTTGTCCTAGGACAGCTATTTCAACTTATTTTTTTATAAAAGTAAATGTCGCAACGGCATTCGAAAAATATTCAACTACATTCAAATACAATACGAGTTAGTAACATGCCATAAAATTGTTAACAATTAATTTATTATTTTTATTATATTTGTAGTATTTTAATTTTTTTTCATAAAAATATTATCCAGCGTAATCAATGTACCATTGAATTATATATCTTTTTAGACCTGCGCAATACAGGTATTGAATAAAGGTAATGTTTCAAATTCGGTGCAAAATTGTAATATCCCAATTGACGAACACCGGTTTCGTTCCACTTTCTGAAAGGCGGCCCCATTTAGGAGGGTAAGCCGAGCTGGGGCTACAATGCTTATGTGATCCCCCTGTTCGACAGAGCCCATAATAAGGGGGTGGAAATGAAAAAATAAGGTATATTCAAACCGCCTAGTTTTTAATAATATAATAATAGTAATAATACATACAAAAACGGACGACGATTAATAATGAAAACGTGGTCGGTCAAATAATACTTAAATTATTTAACATTATGTACATAATTGATTATATATATATATATATCAACAAAGAATAATGATAATATACACAGGGTGATTCATTTTACGTAAACTGCTCATTATTTCGTAAAGTATTGACTTAAAAAAAAAAAACGATACCATTTTTTGATGACCAATCACGAAACAAGCAGCTCTATAATTTTGTACACCATTATTTTTTTATATTTTTTTAAGAAGGAAAATGACTATCTTAATTTTTTTTTTTAAAAAAAATCCCCGAATATAACGAATATTAGTTTAAATAATGAATGTTAATATTGACTTTTTGATTTCCATCAATTCGTTAATCGGGATATTCCATGTTTAAGTTTATATTGGGAGGATTAATGGGACACTATTCAAATACCAAGAGCTATTACACAAACGATGCTCTAATACTCTTTTCCTACCTAAACTCAAAAGTGGAATATCTCGTCAATGGGTTGACAGAAATCATTATTTTCAAAACCAGCATTTAATTAAACTATTACCACAAGTATTGATGGATATTTTAATGTAGAATATCATTAAAAAATCAAAATTAAATCGTTTCATTCCAAAAATACTGGAAATGTAATATTTTAGAGCTGCTTGTTTTTTTAAATTATTGAACAGTTTGTTTTCGTACAATACCTATATTTTGTGAAATGGTGAATGTTTTATGCTAAATGAATCACTCTATATACCTGTATTTCGAACGAAAATCTTTTTCCAATTGTATTTATATTCATTTGTATATAGTTTTTACTTATCGACCTTATCAAAAACACTTTTCAAAATATTCAGAGGCAGACATGCCTACTGTCCCAGAGATTACGCATGGTGAACCCCTTTTAGATCGATTCCCAACAATTTATAATTACCAGGAAAAAAATTAAATTTTTGCCTATATTTTTTTTTTTAAAATTTGTTTTATGAATTCGAACTTAAACTGTATATAAAAAAAATGATTGTGAAGTTACGTTCAGGTTTTTGTTTTACCATTATAAGTACAACTTTACTTATGAAGAACTTAGTATCAAATATGTTATTATTTATATAAATCGATGACGTTTTTTTATCCGCATAAAACCAAACAAGTTTTCGATAATTTTAAATTATGAATTTTAATTTTCGTAATAAATGAGATGTAGTAATGAGATGATAATAATGTATTATTTTCGAATCGTAAATATTACGTCCTTTCAAAAATGTATAACTTTTTATACTTTCGTTATTTGATTAAGTACCTAACATCATTTATAAATGATTATAATTATAATTTTCAAAAAGTCAAGGATTGGTCATTAGTACGGCTATACGACTGTAAAAATTTTACAAAAAAAAAAACTAACTTAACATGAATTAATTATAGTAATTAAAACTCTTTTCAAGTTAACGTATTGTTATTAAATTAAAATAATTTATATAATAATTAATTTTTAACGTGTCAACTCGTTCACTTTTTGTTTTCTGTCGACGTAACGTTAGGTACTGATTGTGAAATATTACTCATCGACCGGGTTTTGTCGGTTTTGTCAATATACCTATTGAATATGCTTCGTGAATAAATATAAAAAATAATAAAATGTCCGGTAACGTATTATTGTGCGCGTGTGACAAAACGCTATACGGATTATAATAATATAATTAGGTACCATTAATTTGCTTACATATCCTACAAACGCGTACAAAAGAAAACTCGAAAGTTTTTAATGCGAAAAGTTAGAAAGACCGCACTCTATACAAAACGGTATGAAACGCGTTATAGAATTTCCCCCGTTTATTCCATTCGGTACGTTATATTATACATGAAGTGTGCATGCATAATAGGAGCGGTATCTTTTTAAAATTTCGATGTAAGTATGATCATACACACGCATAAGTATCGCGTTAAAAATGTTAATGGTTGTTCTTTTTCAACGGTTTTTTATTTATAGGCATTTCGAGTTTAAAGGGGCGCGGACAAGCGGTACAACAATCCGCTGCAATCACGCGTTAAGACAATTTGTATTCCTCAATATTATCGGTATAAAACCTTAACAGAAAAAGAAAAGCCACTGGTGCAGCCACTATTGTTGGTAATTTAATGTCTATCTGTAAGCAACCATTGCTAACGAAAAAACGGTTCTGAGCGGCGTTTGGTTGATAGTGTGGCTTTTTCAAAAATACATGTGTCATATTACTATGGTAAAATAATTACATAGGTATTATATATTTTCTTTAATCGTATTTCTTAAATATTATACCTATTTTTCCGTTTTTCCTGGTTTTTCCAATTTATTGGGAAAACCAAAAAATGACCTGTTTTAAGTACTTCCCCATTAAGATTTATTTTTAGACAAACTGCTACGCATAAGAAGATAAGATTTCTGGTTGAAAAGTTATGCACAGATAAAAAAAAATAAACATCTTTTTAAAACCATACGTTTCTTCGTTCCACTTAGAATCTAAAACCAATATCGGTATTATTCATCCAAACCCGAAACGGAAGGAAAAACGTAGCCGCGTATAGTGAAATCGAAAATTGTATTTAATTCCGGGACGAAAATATTGGAATCGAATATTCTGTCACAAAATTATTTGAACACGAGTATTCGAGCACTTAACAAGACGACGCAGTATAATAGTAAACACGTTTATAATGTTACGCGTAAAAATGGAAATATTCCTTTAGTGGTTTATGAATAATTACGTCGTGCCACGGCGCGTGTCTTTTATATTAATTATTATTATTCTACAATTCATATTTATACATATATACATATAAATTAATTTATTAAAACCGCACCCATGCGCTTCCATCAAATTATAATTTCTCATGGCGATTATTATCTGTACCGTACACATAGATATTTATAGTATATTGCCATGTATTACGTGTGTGAGGAGTATAACAATTTGAATAATAGACGTGTTTTTATTAGTTTTCCGTTCGGCTTTTATTGAGAATAACAAAAAAGAATTCGTTTGTAATCACACATCGAATATTTGGCAAAAAATATCGCTGACCTAATCGACGTTCGTTGAAAGTGTTAAGCGTACTTTAATTATAATATGTATTATATTAATAACCATGTGCCAGTGGCGTGTCAACGAAATTTTAATAGATATCAAAATATGGGTGTAAGACAGTGCAGATATATATTTAGTAGTGCAATACGAATTATACGTGTGAAATAATTAACTATGTTATAAACAGAGAATTTTAATAAAAAAGGACATTTTAATAAGTCATAATAATTATTCATAACAATTAATATTTAATAATAGATTAGATTTTGAAAAAAATAATAGCATTTAGACTTTAGAGTTTAGACACTACCATAGATAAATACTCAAATAAAAAAAAAAAATAATAGCATTTAGACTTTAGAGTTTAGACACTACCATAGATAAATACTCAAATAAAAAAAAAAAATAATGTTGTTGTATAAAATATAAAACAAAAAAAATTATAAACAATTAGTACACTTGCTTAAAGTAAAAATGCGGAAAAATAGGTGTAAGCCAAAATAATAACAATGAAATATGTTTGGGATATAAGCCGTTTCACCTTCACGTGGTGCACTCTGGGTAACTCTAAACGAACTGGGTCGCTTTTAGACCACGTAAAATATATGCACTTTCTTCTTGGAACGCTGTCGGGTGATTCTTATCCCGGACACTCTCGATACATTATATTTGGGTCGTTTCGGAACGCGTTCGGAGAATAACCGTCCGTTGTGTTCGCCTCTGTACGTTTAAAATTCAAAAGCTATGTGGCCTTAAAGCTTTTTTAGAATACGAAATTAACCGTAGGTATGGACGTATTATAGTTATACACAGATATTTACCCGAAAATCAAAAGATAAACCTGAACGGTTAAAACGACGAATAAACCTCTGGAATAACAAACGAATTCAATGTTGAACGGATTTCCCTGGAATTCAATACTTATGCCGAATCGGGCGTATCGCATTTGATTTGAAATAAAATTATTCATTTTAACACAAAATGCAAAAACGCCTTTGCGTAAACAAGTACCTGCTCTATAATATTACATACCTATATACATATATAATTCAGCTTTTTAAATCACCTTCGAATACCGCAGCACTCAGTAAAACTCGTTATCGGTATTTGCATATTTGTACGGGTATTCTGTCAAACTTGCATGTTCCAAGAATATTTACAATAATAATCATTAGTTTGGATTACATTACTTAAGGATATAAAAAACTCTTATCGCGTACCTAACCATATAAATCTAAACAGAATATGAATTATTTGAATAGATCGTAATGTACATGCATACCTTACATATATATTATTACGGTGAAATGTGCGTATAACCGTTCGTAAATCGTCGTAACTGCCGTTGATATACGAGTATAATTTAATTTTTTGTTAATCATACGCGTTATTAAAAAAATTTAAGAGGTTTCTATTTAAACGAATTAAACTCTGAAACCGATGCGTGGTACACGTTTACTTTATTTATATTACTTTTTGTTCTATTTGTGATATTGGTCTAAATTTTTTTTTTTTTTATCCTTCGACAGTTCCATAATCAATCTCGTTTTTATTCGAATCGCATACCGAGTGCCTATTTTTCGCTTTAATATTTATAACATCCGTGCCAATAAAAATTAAGTCAAAAGTAATTTTTGTTTATTGAAAAACAAACAAGGCGCTCACGAAACGTGAAGCGTCGAATTCAATTGAATAGGTAGAATAATGTATATTTGATAATTTTTAAAACAAATAAAAATCCGATAATATATTTTACTTAATTAAACGCAATTTAACATCGGACACGTCTCGCATACGATGAAAATACCTAATGCATGACTTAAACGTTCAATATTTAACAGGTTTACGGAATATGTGTAAATTTCTTTTTACACAGTCGTACTGTAGGAGCCATTATATTATATTATATGCGTGGATATATCTATAAATATGTATTGTGTATCGGTCACGTAGTGTACATGTCTGATTGGAAATTCGGAAATTTCGCGTGAAATCTAATTTACGTAATCCGTTAATGCTAATGGCAGTGACATTTATTTGTTGCTGTCGGTTCGGTTTTTATTTATTTATTTTTTTTTTTCTAACGTCGTATAGATTTTCCGCGGCGGTGCCGCGATAATAGCTGACTTGCGAACCTTGCAACGGCGCCGCACCACTGTGACGGTGTACGAGGGCGGTAATAATAACGTGTAACGTATGCCGCGCGACGTTTGAATAACATATTACAACGCGTAAGTACGCAGTGTTTAATTAAAATTATCGGAACGCGCGTTTCGGCAAAATGCGGAGCCGTACGCGGTTTACCAGCGAAACCCCTCGTTGGATCGATTTATTTTATTATAGCTTGACGAACTGCCGCCGAACTATATATCACTCGCCGGTGTTTCTATAGGTAAACCCGTCATTAATAAAACCGACGGGTCCGTTACGAATCCGGAACGCACAAGTCAGCCGGAATTAAAAAAATGCCAAAAAACCGGATCGGACAAAACCGAACAGTATACGAATCTGGAATTCAATGGTCCCGGAACCCGTCGCGTCCGTCGTTTCCGCCAAAACGAAAATGCTAAAACTAGAGACATCTGCAGGACTTAAAAAATCGGATTTTTACGGTTATCAAACGTTTCGGAATTCCGAAATTTAAGGTCAAGATGTTCACATTGCGATGGTTTTCACACGCCCGCGTAATCATATGCACACGATACGACACGACTGCAGCGACGACGACGGTTCACAGGGATTTGGATCGTGTCCGAAAAGGCCATACTGGGGGTGCGTGTAGTTATGTAAGGCTCCCGCGCGCGAACCAATCGATATCCCGTGACGATCGCCGGGGGTTCCCAAAAAAAAATAAAAAATATAATATTAATATTAAAAACAAAACCGCGACACGTCTAAGAGGAAATGACCTATAAAAAAAAAAAAAAAGTAGCAAAATGATATAACGATAGAAAAAAAAATAAAATAATAATAATAATGATAAAAATAATAAAAAATCTACGTACGAAAATATAATGTATACAAATTCCGTTCCGTTCTATACTTATTAATATCGTATCCTTTCTAATAAATCAACTCTCGGGGTAAAAAATTATATTATCAATTTCCCCTGCGCCCTCGACCCCTCCCCTACCCGCGCGCGCACATTATAGGCCGTCACGCGACCGCGATCACCGCGCGTTGTATAATACGACTCTCTGTATATACGTATACAATGCAATATTCTATGCATATATATATATATATAATGCGTATTATATACATAGTATCGGTTTATTGTTATTATATTACGTATAGAGAACCGTCAGGGGTAGGGATGGGGATTAAGGGGACGAAAACAGAACGTTAGGTATATAAAGGTATATATTGGTACCTGTATATATAGATGGATGAATAGATAGGGTCGTTTCGTTTGGTTTTGAACTTGGAGGGTTGTGAAATTCGGAATTGATGGATTATTGTTTGCAGGTGACGCCCTAAATATTATTATTATTATGTATTATAGTCGTACGGTATACAGTTGTAAAAAAAAAAAAAAAGAAAAAAAAAACAACAGAAAATAATAATAATAACAAAAAACGTTTCCAGTGTCAACAAATGTATAGTAATACGCATTATTGTATGGATAACAAGAGTGAAAAAACAAAGAAAACAAAAAACAAAAAAAAAAAACAAAAACGTAAACCAGACTATAGAAATATGAAAATTTATCGTAATTCGATTTGGTTTTATACCGAGCCATGAACGAGGCAGAGGTTTGATCGATTATATTGGTGTTATATATGCATAGTATTGATAAACACTCAATTTGGGGAGGTTCGGTTAAATTACGAACGATCGAACGCCCCCCTCTCCACTGCTACCCGGCTATTTGTGCCGACGTGACGGATTAACGAAATATAAAATTTAAGTGTATACCCACTTAAAAAAAAAAAAAAACAACGACTCACGTCTATAATTTATATCGCGACACAAAACTATAATAATATATTATTCATTACAACCGTCGTCTAATATCGATTTTTTTTAAAAAGCAATTATTTTTATTTTTCGTACCGCGAGAGCGTTCGTACATATTATACAATAGGAAAAAAAATATGTTTAACGGAATAATTTTTAAAAATATCGTTACGCAGTATATTTTCCACGAACGCATTAATATTTTTACCAAATCATAAAATGTTAGTAAAAACTCGCGTCGGAATAGGTGGCGTTTCGAATTTCAGTTATAGGTTTGTACTAAAATCGATACATTCTGGTAATTTTCGCGCTATTTGTAGCTGAAATTTATATATTTTTTTTTAGTTGTTATTTGGTTTTATGTGGATGAAAACGTTTTGGCCAACCAGAAACATTTAACAATTGTATACGATATCCGTCATAAATTTTACCCGGTGATAAAAAAAAAAAAAAAAATGTGTAATGCAATAGTTTTTCTTTAAGTTCGAATTTGGAAAAAAATTTGGTAAAAAACGCAAAATATCAAACCGTGTTTGAACCGAATATCTCTGAGTTCTTTTTCCAAAAACAATGATTTATGCTTCCGTACAAATATTAATTATACTCAACTTAATGTATCCTATCAAATCAACTTTTCATACCAAAAAAACAGCGGCACACTCGTAAGCAATATCGATTGAATAATACTTTTTGGAAAACGAACGACGGCTACATGTTATTTGCTCATAATCTCATTTACCTGATGACAATATTAACAATTGAAAATACGACGATTTACATGTATACGTTGAATTCGATTTTACATAAAGGTTTACTGGTGCTCATGATTTACAGAAAACATCCAGTGTCTCCGGGCTAAATTCAAACATAATGTGCATTAATAAACCGACGGAGGGTAGGGAGGGGGGAAACACCGGACTCGATTAAACGCCAACATTTACGACACACGGTGTGCCTCGATATTATTAAAATATTAGCCGAAAAACGACACCCGCCTAGGAACATCGAAATAATATTCGCTCAGACTTATATTTTCAATGATATTCTACGTGGTACGTTATACGTATAATATACATTACTGGTACTCGTATTGATATAATATTCTTTTAATTTTTTTTTTTTTTTTTAATATTATTTTCATTTTTATTCAAATAATATTATATTATGTCGGCGGCGAAATAATTACGGTATCCGTGTTATAACGAAACGCTCAATATTCGAAATTAATTACAAAATTACATGTCGTGACTATAAATAATAATGCATACGGTCCGTAATGCAATGGGACGTTAAACGAACGTCCGGTATAATAGCCACGAGTAGAACAATAATACGAACACGATTAAAATATTACGATTATCTACGACAGTCGTCGTGTTTAACATTTTAACTGAAATGAAAAAAAAAAAAAAATTCTATTCGAAATTATTACGAAATTCAATTATACAAATTACGTTCATACCTATACGTAAATATGAACATTTCACGATACTCGGCGTAAGAGCGGTTTAATTTGCTTAATTGTATAAAAATGTAATGATAATATTCATTTCACCGGTTTTCTAAATTGCAGTGAATTTTAAATTTTATTACACTTTTAGGTAAATATTCTCGTCTTTGAAAGGCCTTTGAGACGACCAGACCTCCGAGCAAAATACTCCTCCGTCCGTCCGCCTCAACCTCTGGCCGTTAAATTCCGGGTTCCGCCGCGCTCCTACTACACGGACAACACGATCCCCGAGTTTTCACCTAGGTCTTCCCGGCGGTCTCTTTCCCGTTGGCTCGTGTTCGATTACGGTCCTTAAAAGGTAAAAGAATGTACGCAATGCGTTCCATTTAAAATATAATGAGGGGGAAAAAAACACAAACTACACGTAAGACATAGAATCCTTAGGTTTATTATAAATAATAATTCCAAACACTGCCGTGAAAACATCAATTAAATTGGAAATCGTAACAAACACAAAAATAAAACTGGAAAGAAAAATCGCACACGCGTCACGGTAACGATATATTTTTTTTAATCACGCTATTATCGTGCGCGTTACTGTACTGCGATTGCCTATACGCCGCGCCGGCGTGTGATATTGATAATGACATTACAATTCGGTGTTGTTGTTACGGGTACCGTTTATGCGTTGAACGAATCGCGAATACGTATGTCCATACGTTCGAAAGCGACTAAATAAAAAAAAAAAAAAAATAAAGAAAATTTCAAATGGAAAGAATCTAAACACGACCGAACGGTGACCGGCCGTGGAACGGGGGTACCGACCAAACGGTCCGTTAAGGCTAATCGATTTGCCCGGATCGCGGTGTCATCGCGATACGGCACGTTCGCCAGTTAATCACCGTGTACCGATATTATCGAACGTTCCCGACTCCGTATACCGACGTTGCGCACGCGAACAATAATAGCCCAAACGTCAATTCCGTTTTGAACGCGAATAATTGTAACCAGCCAACTCGGATCCGGATGCGGAACGCTCAATCGCCTTTTCGGCACCGTCCGCCAATGCAGTACACGTTCTCGAAAACGGAAACAATAACAACGAGCGAAGACACGAACCGAGTGTAAATGACGAATCCGAAAGCGCGTTCAAATGTCGTTTTACCCGCGTTTGTACAGCGCAGGCGCCGCGAAACGGGTTTCTGTTCGCGAATCCGTTCGACGCGGCCGCCGTATTTCCGTAAACCAAGGAAATCAAATAAATCTCCCGACGGCAAGAGTTCCCCGTTAAAAGCGCTTCCGGAACGCTTGCGCGACTATTACGTTACGACGTCGCGATACTTTCGAGCGGTCGAACGCGGCGGGAATACCGTTGTCGCTGTATTCGTATACGCGGTCCAATCGCTAAAGTGATTTTTTTTTTTTTCAATCGATTTCAATTATCGTTTTCAAACGTTACGAAACGCGTTACGGGGAACAATCGACAAATCCGTACCCGTTCGTTCCGTTGCGTAAGCGATACGAGAGCGATTATGTCAACTCTAATTGTTTCCCGTAATGTTCGCCCGCGTACGCGATGTGAAAACAATATCGCGAACGTGTTGTGCACAGCGCGTTCGCGTTCCGGGGCGACGTCAAACGGTTACGGCCGCGCCGTTTTCGGGTTCGACACCCCGTTTTCGGAACGCGATCGCACACGCCGGTCGCGCGATAAACGTGTAAAAATGCTCGGCCGTTTCGGCACGCGCCTACAAACGGGGCGACGTCTGTTTTTGAAAACGGCCGCGTTTCAACCGTCCCGCGGGTTTTTTTTTTTTGTTTTTTTTTCGGGCGGCTTATCATTACGGGTCCGCGCGATTTTTCGTAAACGCGGTTATTTCTCGATCGTTCGGCGTATCGCGAATCGCGCGCCGTTGTTATTATCGCCACACAAATAAACCGGAGGCTGGGGTGCGGCGTATGGATGTTCGGTTTTGTTTTCGGATACGGTGCGACGGTCGGTCGTTCGGTGACAATATGTTTAGACGGCGTTTATTATCGACATAATCAAATACCGTAATATATTTTATTCGAGTGCGTTATGTTGTTTTATTGCGACCGTCTTTGTAAACGATTTTTTCCCCCATAAAACGGTAGTCGAATTTTTTTCACCTTTAACGCGGTGTGTTTCGAATTCTTTTGTAATTCGAGCAAAAAAAAAAAAAAAATCATATTTTTAAATTAATTAAAGATTTCTCGGATAATTTTGCGAGATAAAAAAAAAAAGAAACACTATATAATTCCGTAAGATTTGTATTTGTAATCGAAATGATTTTGTAAAAATAATATACAAAAAAAAAAAACATTCTTTTACAAATCTGGGAACGCGAATAACTTTTAAAAAAAATATCGGTCCAATTCGGCACACGCAATTTAGACAGACTCTAATAATAATCTACAACCGTCTAAACTCTATATAATACAACAACACTGCGGGACAAATGATTGTTTCCGTTTTGTCGTTGTTGTCTATAACACGGCGAAGTCGCAAATATTAAAGCCGTCTTATGGATTTTTTTTTTTTTTTTTCCCCTCGTTAATATTCGATTCGATTTTTTTACGGTTTTTAAAAAATAAAAAAAACACTCAACCGTAACGATACGCCGGTCGATTCGCGAACGCCCGCGGTGCGGATTTCGAAACATCGAAAACACGACGTCGCGAACGGACGGGACGGATCAGTGTCGATATTTGAATATCGCGTTGTCCGGTGGCCGCGAGACGTCACCGTGGTGCGACCGGCGCGACCGACTCTCGGCAGACGCGAATCGACGCGCGCGCATACGACGCCGGCCGGTAGAAGAACGCGCGTACCGAACGGGAAACGAGTGGCCGGACGCACCGGGGGGGGGNGGGGGGGGGGGGGGGGGGGGTACCGGTCGCGGGCGGCGATTTCGCCCCACGCGTTATTTACCGGTAGACTCCCGAGTTCGCGTAACGTCCGCGAACGGGGAGACTGTCGCAGCAATAGAAATGTTATTGCGTTAACATAAACTCCGAGAATCGCTAGGACTTTGCCGGCGGCGCGGCGAAAATCGCGCCGCGTTTCTCAATACGAACGCGAAAATCGATTCTTGCGCGCGACCGTTGGTTAGGCACCGTGTTCACGTCTATACGAACGCGTACGGTGTACGAGAGCGCGTGATTAAGTGTCCCGCGTAATTATTTATCGAAACGCCGCAATCGTTTTTCGCCGAGGCGATTTTACATAACGGACGCCGCGTCTTATCGTGCTGCCGTCGCGTCGCGTGTAACGCGAAGAATCCATTTGTTTACGGACGAATTACTGATCGTTTTAAAAAAAAGTTGGAATTTCGTTTGATCAAAAAAAAAAAAAAACAAATGCGGAGAAAAAAAATTATCCACGAGCGGAAGAGCCGCCCGATAGAGTAGTCAAATTATCCGGCCGCAGATAAAGTATTTCGTTTTTAAAACGAACGTTTTTTTTTTTTTTTTTTTATAATTTGTGTAAAACAATCGCGACTGTCGTGTTTATTACTTAACGTTTTAGGGTGTTTGGGTTTTTAAATCACGGAATTCCCTGTGAAAACTTGACATTTAAACGGGAAAACGGTTGGTTGAGGGGGGATAGTTGAAACCTCGAAAATACATAGTTCTGATGCACACACAATACCAGCAATTAAATCAAATAATAATTTCGTTCAAAGAAAGCTGGACGAAGTGTCCAAAATTTACCGGATATTTGCCGAACTGGACTCATGTTCGTAAAAAATTATAAATACTATTAATGTCAACACATTTCGAATATTTTTTTGAAAATAGGCTCCATAATTATTAAAAAAACATAATCCATATACACGATCGTTTTTTGTTTGTAATAAAAATAATAATAAATAAATAAATATTCAATGAAAACCTACCATATGTTCCTCAGCCACCAACCCAAAAACGCATATATACCGTTAAACATTTTGAAAAAAAAAATATGCATTTAATTTTACTTTTTAAAGACAATACATAAAATTACGAACTATTTGAGGATAAAAAAAAAAAATCACTTATAATCTATGAGATGAAATTCGTTTTTACAATATAATAATTTCCCGGAACCAAAGTAATATTTAAATTTTGCTGGTGAAATTTAAGACAGTTAACGCTATCTAGGTAAAATACATAGTAGGTCGTATAAGCGCGCTCTTTTGATGTATTTGTGAAACAAAAGTTCGGCGTTTTCGTCGCTACACAGCATTGCGTTTTTTAGTTAACCGGGTCGTGTCTTCCGACAGATGTCGCTCTCAGGATATCGTACACAATTTTTTTGTAATATCAGATAAACATACTATTGTATACATAAATATGCTAAAAATAATATTATTGCTATTAATATTTATCCGATCGCTAAGTACTCATTTTCTCAATATTTTTATATTATTAATATAATCAGTGGCGGCTCGTGGGTTTTTAATGAAGTAGTGCACACCCAAAAAAAAAAAAAANATAAATTGTATTAAATAATTGTTTACAAACTTTAGTTATTTACCAATTACCTTTTATTCTTATTTCCATTCTTTACCCAAGCGACATCATTAAATTTTTGGACCAAAAAGTAAACAGGGAAAACAATACAAACGATTAGTTTCTGAACAACCACAAATCCAGTCATAGGTTTTATATATATTATTATTAAATTTTCTTACATATTCTCTCGTTTTACATTTAGTAATTTGTTTAATATTTAAGTCTGGAGTAGGCCTACCTTTATTTTTTATTTCCATCTTTTTCTCCAACGAGATTGTTGAACAATTGCATCGCAGTATTTTCTGTACTGAATTCATTTTAAAAATTGAAAACAAATACACGAATAATAATAAACGTAATGTCGGTCGTCGATAGAAAACAGAAACACGATTGTTGTTTTGAATTTCCGATAATGATTGACTGGCCAATATTATCAGCTGATAATCGGAATATAATAAATGAATGAGAGTAAAAATAAACTATAATGCTGATGCCGACGCGCAACGACACGGCGACGTCGAAAATAATTCGCTGATAACAATTTAATTGGTTTTGTGCACAGAAACAAATGTGCACACTAATTCCATTATAACGCGGGTTGCGTGTTTCGACTTGTTTTAATTTGTACACTGTGCAAATGTGCACAACCATTGTGTGCACAACTCCCACCACTATAATACACACCGATACTGTTCCGTCGCGGACAACGGTCCGGCTATTTGGCAATCGAAATAACGCAAACTAAATATTATATTATTTTCATAATATTCTGAATTTATAATTTTATATTTTGAAAAATAATCTTAATAATACTACAGGTACTTAGTAGTTAGTTGTATTATTATGATTTATGTTTTCAATTTTTCTTGAGTTTGGGTAGGTAGTGCACGCGCACTTGTGCACACGTAAACGAGCCGCCACTGAATATAATGCATATATTACAGCGTTCCGTAGAAAAAAAAAAAATACATAAAACCAACGTATTTTGTGCGTTTTTGACGAATGGTTCCCGAAAATAATATGTAGGCTATTTTTACTGTAGTGTTTAATTTCCCACTACATTTTGGTCACTTTCACAGAGCTATCTGGACTAAATTATCTCAAATTTAGGAATCGGAGTAATTAAAAAAGTAACAGACGAAAAGCGAAATAAAGTAACAAAACGTTATGTCGAATTTCAATATAAATTTATCTGTGTAACTGCCGGCGGAAGGTGTTTTCCTATAGCTTTTACACCCCTGCTGCGGACCTTCAAACGAAGCCATGTGGACGGTATTTTGTATACGCACGGCGTTAGTACGAAGTATTTAGTTTTTGGGGGAAACAACTTTCAACTCTTTATCGGGAATTGTTTAATCAAATTTCATCATTTTTTCTATTTTTTTTTTTTTTTTGGAAGAAGTGTAAATTGGACTCCAGTGACGGTGGTCTGCTGCTGCTCACGGATTTTGTTTTTTTTTTTTATACATATACGCCTTTATACCTGTATATTTATACGGTTTTCTTTGTACGCTTGGACATAATGTAAATCATTTTATGTCGTTGGGTTTGTTTAAATTTGCAGATATCCGGGTATATTATAATATATTGTGCGGATAAAAAACGTGGACGGATAAAAAGGCCGGGTGTCCGTATCCGCGGGGGCCTCGTGCCGCCTACAAAAAAAAGGCTTTGGGGTACTATTATCGGGCCTGCGTCCGAAATGCAATACACTCCGAATTTAAGAACCCGCGTAACGGCGTCCGATTTCGTCGTAATTCGCGTTGCAAAAAAAAAAAAAAATAATAAATAAATAAAAAAAACCTAGCCATCGCGGAACCTATATATATTTCATTCAGAAACTCCTGAATCCCGGTGTAGCCGTCTCTACGCTGCCGTTGCAGTATCGTAGTATAGCGAATGGGCGCTATAAAGAATATAATGACGAATGCGCGGGAGACGTATTATTTATTTTGCGCGGTTGCGTAGACGGTAATGATAAACGCACGCGCCTAAACATCAATAAATACCATTTATTGAACCGAAAAAATATACGAAAAAACTAAAAAAAAAAAAAAAAAAACCCGCCTACGCAGCTCTGCAGTTTACGTTCATGTCGTATAATTAATACATAAAATACCGTGGAACGGACACGCGCCGTTTTAACATAACAGCCCCGGCCCAACCCCCGACGGACATTTTTTATTACTATTATTTTTCTTTTTTTTATTAAATTATCATCTTCAGATCAGTGTTACACACGCACATACAACGTATCTAAACTACTATGATGATTTCTCTGTTTTGAAAAAAAAAAAAAAAGTGTTCGATTATTCAACATTGGCTGTAAAGTACACGTATAAACATTCAAACCATACCGTTACCACGCCTCAGTCAGCTTGGCAACAGTGATATTAAAAATTAAAAAAAAAACCCAGGAAACTTTTACAAAAAAAACCGTGCCTGTTCTCAGTTATGCGCATTATCATTCCATTTCTACACTCCGGTTTAAAACTGCTTAGTTTTCTTCTTACAAGTTGTTGTATACATAATGTCTATACAATTTATATATATACGTATAGAAATTATTGTACGATATTACAGTACTATCTACATGATAGTACTTTGAAATTTAAATATTTGTTCGCCATAACTCGTAAGTTATTTCATTTTGTTTGCGTAAAAAGAAATGTCTACTATTTGCTTGTACTTATATAAACTGCTTTACTGAAGGGACTGACTTGCTCGTACATCTCGCGGTATTCATTTATAAAAAAAAAAAAAAAACACAAAAAGTAAAAAAAAAACGAAACGTCTAACAAAATAATTATACGTACGTACTCTACCTATTATTTTTATTTTATAATGTTTCAATTATTGAAATAATTACAAATATTATTATTTAAACTTTAAAACCTCCATAAATACGGTCAATAAAACCGTTGCACTATATTTCCGTGGCCGGTCTAACGTTTTTCATACCTATTTTAATTTCCCGAAGTACAGGTGGATAGGTCAAAAGAGTTTATTACGACGTCGATAAAAACAAAACTAACATACCAGTGTGCGGTATTTGATTGTCTATAGAGATATAAGAATCTAAAAGATAATTTAGATCAGTTTTGTAGCGAACCGTTTTTTTTTTTTTTTCAACAGCAAATTCAATTGCTTACTTGTTGGTAGGTATGTTGAAAGGTTTACGGTAACTTTATTACCTGTATACCGTATATACATTACTGTACACTTAAGGTCTGCATTTACTATTAATCATTGAGTTCAGTGGCGTAATTGTGGAGGTGTACGACCATCCGTTATTACTCCCTGACATAACGTAGTAGGTGTGACGAAATGCTTTTACACCTGTTGGTATTGAACGCCAATCCTAGGAAAATATAATTCTATTCTATTGTTTTATTGATTTTTTTTTTTTTTTTGATAAGAGATAACATAACTGAACAAATGTGATGAAATACAAAACGTTCTGCAACAACTATGTTATATTTAATCATTTATAGCCATAAAAATATTACAGATAATTACAGCTACCTATGTGCATAATTTATACCGTGGTCATATCTTTTACACTCTCCAGCATTTTCATGTTGTCAACGCTATCGTCCCTATGTTTCGGTCTATAGTAATCAGTGTAAAAATATATATGTGAAAACACAGTAAAAATAACATTATCATACGCAAGTACGCGATAAACCTTTACTTACTAGTTTCAACTTCGCCAATAATTCTAAGGTATTCCACAAAAATAAAAAACAAAACAAAACAATACTGGATTATTTCCAAAACAAATTAATAAAGGTTTTAACTAAGTTACTTGCATAATATTAAAATATACATATTAACCAAGTAGCTAGTATAGTTGTGCATTTTACAATTTCAAAATATGTGAATAAATATTATGTGGATTCTAATGATTTGAAAATAATAGATATTTCTCACAGTAGTAATTTTTATATTTGTCTGCCGTTGAATAAAAAAACGTAAACTGTGCGAGTTAAACAAGCGGCATTGAATACGACTTAATTTATCTTTTTGATTATTGGAACTGTAAAAGCTTTGCACCTACTGACATTTAACGGAATTATGCTAGACTTTTTACTGCTATAAATGATATAATTTTCACGACGCCACTAATGTATATAATGACGCTATACTACATTTTATCTAGATAATATCAGAATACCCATTATCTTTTTATTTATATTTGTAATTGTTTTTAGTAAATACGTAGTGAATAAACGTCGAGTATGATATTATTATACCACCGTTCTTCAAATATTTTTTTTTTAACAACGCTTAAATAAGCTTGGTAATTATCAAATATTTCATAATAGTTACCTAAATATATATATATATATATATATATATATATACATAAACACTGTTATCAATATTTAATCAAATATTTTACACTGCGAATCTGAATTGCATATTTGTTATATTAAAATTACACGATATTTCTATGAGTTATTATTTTTATCATCTTATTATGTTATTTAGATAACTGAAAATTGTAAACAACTTTATCTCCGATAAATCTGTAATTATAATTGTCTTTACCTTTTAATTACGGCAATAAATATTGATTATAATTCTCAACACGTCCGATGGAAAAACATGCATTCGCACTTTCATTGGATTATACCGCGTCATATATCTACCCTAAGTACCTACAATATGTTTGATTAAAATATAGTTACGTGCTTTAGTATATTTTATGATATAACAACAATGCTTTAATTTTATTCGAAATTTATTCAAGACCTCGCCGACTTTATAATGTAAACACTCTCGTAAATCTATCTGATCGTTCGTTTTACTGCACTTGCACTTGTTCGATATCGGATAAAAAAAAATAAAATAAAACAAAACCGTTCAAACAAGGTGATAAATTGTTTAGAAATAGACGGTACCTATTTCATTCGTTCATCAATCTTAAATAATGTTTGTTAAGCGTTGGATGCAAATAAAACGAATATTTACAGTTATACTTCTTTATTTGCATACAGCAGATTCGAGATACTCATTTATATGATTTTTAAAACTCAGACATCAAAGACGTTTTAGAATTTATTTTTATTATATACCTACCTACCTAAAATTTATTCATCCCGTTATAATAATATAATTAATATACACATAGTGATTGTTTTTATCATGAACCGGCAATTACCTCGGAGGATTTAAGTGAATATTTATTTCTGTTTATTTTCTTTTAATCATTATAATTAGTTTAGCTTTATTTCTAAACCGTTTTTAATTTTTTATCTCTACTCCATATACCTTAAATACATACATATTTTTGGTTTTCAAACGGGAACTTCCTCCTTGTTTTAATCACCCATTCGAATATAGTATATTTTTTTAGAAATTTTGATTTGTATATTACTAATGCTACGTCGATTGTTTACGAAATAAAACAGTTTAAAGTGTAGATCAGAGGAGTAAGGAAGAGCAAAAAATTTCATATCTTTTTTTTAAATGATAAATTGATAATTCTTCTTTACATATATATGAAAACCACGAAGTTATACCCGTTGCAATATCTCCGAAGATAATAAAGATAATCAAATTCTGATGTTTTTTTTTTATATATATATATATATATATATATTACTAGCAGGGGCAATGACTAAGAATATTTATATTTGAATTAATTTTTTATACTTTATTAAAAAAAAGACGTCCTAGGTTAATGGGGACGGGTGCAGTTGCTGTAGTTATAGATAATTGAATGTATATTTGTAAGCAACGATAAACCATTGTTAATGAAAAAACGATTCTGAACGCAGTTCATTCGATAGTGATGCCTTGTCAAAAATATATATGTCATTTTATAGTACAATAGCTAAATAGGCTTTATATATTTTCTTCAATAAAATTTGTTTAACGCTGTACCGATTTTCCTAGTTTTCTTATGGTTTTCTCTATTTTCGCGTGTCTTATCCCGATATTTCACATTTTTTAGGAAAACTTCTAAAAAAATCGAAACATTACCTCTTTGAAGTACCTCTTTTATGCAATTTTTTCTTTAGAAACATCGCTATCATTAAAAGTTGGAGCAAAATAACTGGTTGAAAAGTTGTGCACAGGAATAAAATTGTAATATTTTGGTAATATATTTCATACATTTTCTCGTTTTTTTCGGTTTTTCGTATTTATGAGAATACTCTTGAGAAAATCGAAAAATGACTTTCTTAAAGTAATTTCCCCACACCAATTTTCTTTCAGAAAAGGTACTACACTTAGAAATCCGATTAAGTCTTCTTGTAGAAAAGTTGTTAACAGTTAAAAAAAAAAATTATAAACATCTTTGTAAAGCCATACGCTTTTGTGCATCACTCAGAATCTATAATAACTTTTTAATTTATTATTTTAAAAACTTTAAAAATAGCCATTTCATAGAGTTTATTCTTCTGAATATTTTTGTTTTCATTTAATTCGTCATATTTTTGTCATTGTATAGGTCAATACTTAAATATAACTATAACTATGCAACAGTCTGTAATCGCATTCACTATTTGATTATTATAATTATGACTAATTGACTGAATATTTTTTTCTATTGAACTTTAAAAAATGATTGAAAATCAAAGATTTAATGAAGTTGATACGTAAAAATGTTATGTTTAAATTTCTTAAAAAAAATAATATTAAAAGTTATTTTTTTCGGTAAGCTTTTTATCAAACCATAAAAAAAAAAAAAATAAATAAAATATAAATATTTGTAGTCCTTACCTGGTCTTCCTGTGCGTTATATAGAAAGAATTGTATTTATTTTATTATCTTCAGAGATATTACAACGGATATATCTTCTTGGGATATCCTATGTAACCGGACTTAAATATATTATTTTTTTAACTGCGATATTAGAATTATAATAATAAATAAGGTATACATTGATAAATTTCATTGGTTTCAAGCGAGAAAAGTCTAAGGAATTTTTTATAGAATTTTGTCTTGTAATGTAGTTTTTCCCATGATATTTTTTGGTTTAAATGACATAAGCGTATGTATATTCTTAACACATGGTTTACTAAAACTAAAACACTCTAAGTCATTGTATATTATGTTACTTTTGTTTAGCAAAAAAGCACAAGTCATATCATATGACTTATATTATGATCAGGTTAGGCCATTTCGTCATTTAACCATTTACACAATTTGATTTATTTGTATTGAAAACTATACGAAATTCACTTGTGCCCTTATTCCCCGGAACCAAAGATGTATTAAGCTGTTAGACTGTATATCCACCAAACAAATGTCATATATTATTAATCACACAATCGATCAAATATCGTAACTTTTGTAATAAACGCATGTTGCTATACAAGTATTCGTATAGCATATGTATATTGTTCATATGAATATGAATATTTGTATATGAATTTGTGTTGTTTATTCACAATGTCGAACATCGTTATTTTTTACGTGTTCTATTTCGCTTTTGAAACGCTGTTTGTATTACATTTAATGGGTTTTTTTTATACCATAAGAATAATCTTAATATAATAACCACGGCCTTAGAAGATATGATCGGATAACTGGGCTATAAAACGCAGAATCTTATTAAGAGAGGCGGTTATTCTATCCGTTAGTGCGAAAAGCATCACTTTGTACTTTTCGGGGTTATGTCAAAAAATTCATAATTATATTGTTGTTTATTCACAAACTAAAATGCGAAAAATCAAACAATTTAAAAAAAAAACCCCTCGAACATTTTTGATATTTTCAGAAATTGGAAACATTTTAATAAAGTTCTGTTTGAGGTGGTTTCTGAAAAAAATAAAAAATGGTAAAACGTGGACTGAAACTACCCCTCTGAACGACCGCACCGAGGAGATTTCCAGTGTCCCGGACCTTGTCTTCTATATTATAAGACCGCGATTTTATTACCTGCAATAATGATTTTCGCTACGAGAAATTGCAAGTCGAATAAAAAAATACATCTTAAATTATAAAATTCGTATACACGAGCGACTTATAATATACTTAATGCGAACTTTAAAACTGTTTTCAAACGCGATGAAAATATTTATTACGCATTATACGGGGTACTAATACCTAATCGTAAATATTATTATGTAATTCGCTCGGAACGCGTATAATCTCAAAACGCCATCGAGTCGTAAAAAAAAAAAAACGTAATGATAATAAAAAGAAAAAAAAGAAAACACTTTCGTAGTGGACGTTTTGTTTCTTTTTATAATATTTGTGCGATATATTTCTATAGCGTTATACTATTACACATTATTATTTTAGGGTGTGTAATGTGTATAATATATTTTTATACTATGCAGTTATAATATAAAAATAATATTATACAGTTTTAGGAACGCGGCCCGATCCCGTATAAAGTAAAAGACCATTATGCCTAACGTGTTATTTTTCGTATTTTATATTGCTCGGACTTTTTATCTTGCTATCAGTAATGTTTATTATAGCGGCCGCTTACTTATAAATTGAATGCGCGAGACATTCCTATATACTTATTATTCATTCCGCTATAATAACCGTAGTATAACAGTCGTCATCGTTTTGTTTTACAGTCGAAATGCACACGTATACGCGTAAGCTCTGAACTTAAATATACATGTAAAAAAAAAAAAAAAAATATATTTTTTTGCTTTTTTACGCGTATGCCTCCGATTTTTACGGTTTCTGTTTTTTTTTTGTGGGATTTGACTGGTACAATAATTATACGTATTTCAAACGAAGTGTATTATTCAGTTATACGTTCCATATAAAGGTGTATTATTATTATATTACATATTACATATAAATCGATACAATAAATGACGATGGTCGTTACACGCGCGTTTAAATATGCAAACGATATTGTCGCGGTGGAAAATAATTTGCTACACGGGTATAATATATTATAACATTATTGTACATCCGATAATATCATTAATAAGCGTATACAGTTGTGATATTTTCATAAATCATCGTAATCAGAACGCGGTGATGAATTATAAACATCGACGGCGCGTTTGTGCACGTTTATTGCGCAGAGTGTTCCGCGCGTTGAACCGCACAGAGAATCCGTTTTCAAAAGTATGGAAAACGTGTTATCGTTTGGTCCGGCCGAGAATTGTACGCGATTTAGCCTTTTGATCTTCGATAAAAACAAAGATGTCGTTCGAAAACCAAGATGGCGTATTAGTTTTGAATAGAACCGTATTTTAAGTGCCGCGCGTGTTCACTACATAAATTTATCGCTCAAAAGTACAACCGGACCATCTGGGATTGAAGTTTGGTTTTTGGGAGGCCGATAGACAAAGAATACAGCACGACTTACTATTTTTTTTAAAACCGCAACTTTACAGATTCGGGTAAAGTGTTGTACGTAAAAAAACAAAATTTGTACTATAAGTTATTTACTAATTACGAAATTAGTAATGTTGAAATTTCCCTGTAAACAGATTATTTATAAATATTAAATTTAAACAAACTGTAAATTTGCCAATTTTATGATTAGAAAAAATAATTTTTTAGACAAATAGGTTAAAAAAAACATAACTTTACCTGAATCTATAAAAAAAAATGGGAATTGCCATTAAAAAAGTAAGCTTTACAGCGCATGGGTTTTAAAAATTTGAAATTTGTCTGAAAATTCGATTTTTCGATGCTCTTAATCACCTCCCGAACACCTCATTTAAATCCATCCAGCTGAAATATTGAGTGATACCTCATTCAACGTGAACATAGTAAGGTATATTGACGACAACCAAAATAATATTTAAAAAAATAAAAAAATGTACTCCGTAATACTATATTGTTTAATGTTGAACACGATTCAACAATGTATATTCGGACGGCCGAAACTCGATGTAATCGATTCTCGCGGAACACCCAGTACAAAACAGTATTTAATCACGTCCGATAACAACACTACAAGCTAATGGTACTCATAACTACTAACAACTATTTTGTAAACCAACTAAAAAACTACAACTAGTAACTACTTATTTACTAGATAACCAACTCTATATATAGTGTAAATGAGTAAGCCCGGAGCTTATACGGCGACCGTCACGTTATACCGAGAGTACCAATAAATAAATTAACAGTAGATCCTTAACGATTTTCGTTTGTGCCACGGATATTACGCGATACTCTGATGAGTACTAAAAATGATGGGCAAATCGTTTCCATCGCGTCGTAACACAATAATTTTCATGGCGCAAACGAATATATTCACGGGTCGATAAAACAAATCAATCCGTTCTCATTAAATACAAAATATAACTACGGCCGCCGACTTCAAACCACTCTTGTGTCCAAATATTATACAGTCGGCTATCGAGTGGTTTTACCACAAACATTCACTCACATAATGATGTCTCCGAGTTTTATCCTGGTCTGGATTAGCGCGCACGTCTTGTGATCCGAAGTGGTCACCGCCCGTCGCCGTCTCCGGTACCGCGGACTTCCAGGACCACCCGGATGCGGTACCGACGGCGAGCTCTCCCTGCGTCGGATGCTCATGTGCCTGCCGACCAACATTGCTCCACCACCTGTAACACGTCATTAAAGATAGACAGTTAATAATATTCCGGCACGACGACCTGGAACGATAACAGGCAATAACGATATCAATATTATTAAAGAAATGTCAACGGTCGAAAAAAAAAAATAATATGATCATCATTAAACCGCGAAGCCGCAGACGAGGCTTGTAGAGTTTGGGTTTGATGGATTTTAATTAGGATAAATGATTTGGATGGATTATCAACTGTTTATTTGTCTACTATATGTTTCGACAGAGATGGATGTAAATATTCGGAACATTTTAAATGCGTAATAATTAATGTTATATACGCAATGAAGAATAACAATAAAAAATAGAAACTGCGTTGAGGATATTGCAGCTGAAATAACATATTTGAACGTTTAAAATCGACTCCGTTATAAATTAAATTTCGCCGAACTCAATCGTTATGTTTTTCAATCCAAAAAAAAAAAAAATTCCTTTTAAACGTAGCTATCGGACAGCAGATATTAATGGAAAAGAGTCTTATCATTAGTAGTAGATAGTTATAATATAAACTAAAAAATATAACAGATTTTACGAAATTGGAGACGATTCTAGAAAATAACTCCGACACATTTAAGAGGACTTTAAGCCCGCATTTTTTGGCTCATCGGTTTAGCTGACGGTCGACATTTTAATATCGAAATTTCGTAACTTAGAATTAACATTATGGCGTTTAAATATTAGAAATTATATGTTAAACACGAATGAAATGAAATTTAAACAGGTGGATATTTTCGAGGGTACCGTATTCTTCTTTTTTATTTAATAAAATATTGCTTATAAAGTTATAACAAAAAAGTTACAGCTCAGAGAGTTTATTGTTGTTACTTTAGTTTTTTTTTTCTTATAGCTGTTTTTATCGAAATTTCAAAAACTAATGTACGCGGTGCCCCCGAAAAAATATATATATATATATATTATATTTAATTTTATTACGTGTATTTATACGAGTGCACCATATCACTTAAGTGTAAGTTATGGTGTTTCCAAGATAACAAAAAAAGAAGAAGTTTGAATATTAATAACAATAATAAGAGACATATAAAAAAAAAAGAGAGTAAAAGTCACCGAAAACAACCGATGTGACTGTATATTTTTGACATAAGATTCTGCAGATGTCTAATTTTTATAATTTTACGTTTTAACATTGTCTAGCTACACACAATTGAAAATTAAATTGTTTCGATAAAAATTACTGATGTAAAAATGTTCAGCTGTAGATATCTAAAAAAATATACATATATGTACTATACAGGATGTAACACGAAAAACTGACACCTGCAATTACATTTGATCCGTTTAATATTTTTAACTTTTTTTTCTGGCAATAGTTTCTAAAGCATTGCTCTATGGTTCCTCTCATTGATATTTTTTTAAAAACTAAAAATAACAAAATTCTAGATACTCAAATATTTACTCATGTTGAATCGCTAAATTTCTACAATTTTCTTTTTGGTTTACAAAAATCAGTAATACAATAATTTGTCGAGGAAGAATTGTTGGCAAATGGATTAATATTATTTTGTGTCTAATGGCGGCAATGAAAAAATATCGTTAGCTTCAAAAAGTTTAAGAAAATTAATAATTCATCATTCGTAAATATTTTTGACAACAGTTTAGTTTCAATTTATGTTAATAAAAATTTAGCTTTCTCGGATTTTGTGAAAACTGTTTATTTTTTTATTTTATGATTTTAAGCAAAATATGTAAAATAAAATGATCAAAGCGCAAGGCTCAAGTAATTATAACGAGAGTAAAAATCTTTAACATATTGAACAGAACACAAATAATTTCAGATCTTCATGTAAGAGCCTGTACGGCATAAGAATACGTTTAATTTTCAACATTTTGCCCTTAGGAATTATGAAACTTAAAATAATAACGTCCATTAAGGATACGTATTGAACTTTGTTGACATTTTGGGAAATTAAAAAACCAAAAAATAACCGAACGAAACTTAAGAATTATGCAAATACGTGAATATATTTTGAACCGAAAACTTTCGATATCACAGTATCATATACACCTAAGAGATTTAGGTACTTAAAACTTATACGGGGTTTCAAAAGCGATTAAAATTTCTCAGAAACCAAAAAGTAATCGTATTAGAAAAGATTCGCGGGACACCGAGTTTATGTGTGTACAGCGAACGTATAATACTCTATTTTTTTTTTTTTTTTTAACATAATTATCGTTAACCCGTTTGAATTGAATTTATTCGGAAACGCTGCAGGTGCACGGGCAAACTGTTCAAATATTAATATCTGTTGAGAAAGTTTATACAGTTTAACCGTTAATAACTAAATTAATTGTTAATAATATCGCAATTAGTATAAAGTGGATGGTTTTATGTATAGCAAAGTTGTTAAATAATCTCAAAACTGCATAATATAACCATCAATGTTAATCGGCATTGTTATGCGTAACTTATTTTGAATAATTTAAACACTACAGTCGATATAATATATCCTACCATCATACCAATATTACGAACATGGAAGTTTGTTCGGATGGATGTATGCATGTTACCGCTTCTCGCCCAAACTACTGAACGGATTCTACCGAAACTTCGTTACATAAATGCAGTAGTATACCAGAAATAACGTATTATAGACCACTTCCCCGTTTCTTTTTTGATATTTTTAGTTCAAAAGGCATATTATTCTCGTTAATTTATGAGTTATCTAGGCGATAAGGATGATTTAAAAAAATAAAATAAAAGATAACTGTTACTGGGGAAGGGCCACTGTTGTAGATGGGAAGTCGGGTAGATGAGTAGGAAACATAAAGTTATTTTATTTATATCTGTAAGCAACGATAAACCATTCCTAACGAGAAATGGTTTGGAGGCGAAGTTCGGTTATACGTGTTTTGAAAAGCCATACAATTTACCATTTTCGTAGAAATTTGATATCGAAACACTCAATTTTTTTTTTTTTTTTTTTGCAATAAAGTACGACTTATAATAAACCTCCTATCCAAAGTATCAAGAATTTCTGTTAGGTTTAACTATTTTATCTATAGAGTAACTACCAAATAAAAATTACGTACAAATATCGCAAAAATAAAATGTCTAAAGAAAACTCGACAACAGCTCAAATGTTTTTGAAATTTTTTCGACTTGAAGACCGTCTCTCACTTTCATATAAAAGTTCATTACTTATTGCGTTACGTACATACGCATGGCTTATTCATTCTTCAATTATCTGTGTATTAGTTTTCCTGCGACGCGCGGGTTTTTTTTTTATTAGATGCGTACAGAAATATTCGTTCAGAAATTTGGCCCCAATCGTCAACTTCAAAGGTGGTAGTTTCCGGTAGTGAATTTTGTCTTTTTAGTGCGTTGAAGAGGTATTGTTATGATATCCTTAGTACTTTTATTTGTAAAAGGGAAAAATTGAAAAAAAATAATGTTCGAAAAAACGAGAATATTTTGGAAACGCGTCGTTCCGGTAAAATCGATTTTATTTTTTGTACACTGAAAAATAATCGTAGAAACCGGAAATTCTCATAAAAATATTGTACCAGTATTTTTGAAATTTGCCAGCGTATTTTATTTATGTATTTGTAGCTAAATGAAATTGTCTAGTTATTTATTTTTTTTTTTTTTTTCGTAGATAGCATTTGTGCAGCTACATATAAATGCTTAATAATTCAATACAAAGTATATTCCTCGTACGTTGCTCTTATGCGTTTTTTTTATTTTTATTCGCGTTTGAAGTTCATAATCTGGTATATTATTTCTCCTTAGTATATTATGCAATGAAAGCTCTTTGCCGTAACACCGCAACGTCTTCTCGTCCTTCTTTAACCTACGCCATTTCTCGTCTGGGTTTCTACTCCTAAATGCGGCCTCAGGTCATACGCCATAGACGTCACGGTCGACTAAAGAGTCTCTCTGGTTTCGACGGTGTAATTTTACTAGATATTTTGAATTTTCTCTTCTGCGGCGTCAGACACGTCTTGCCCATCCAGTTATTTTGCTCTTCTTTATCATAACTATACCCTGAAACTCTTTGCGAAACCTATATATTTTGAGATCATCATTGGTTTCGCACTAAAACTCTTCATATTATATATTTTCTTGAGAATGTGAAGCTCGACAAATTTGTCTTTATACATTTCCACCTAAACGTCATTATATTTTTCGCATCGGTTTTTAGTGAACAGCTCATGTCATATATAATTTTCATCTTCAAATTGTTTATTATTATTTTTAAATTTTCTCGATAATATATTAGATTGGAAATGGAATCTTGACATTCCAAAGAATATTATTTTTTGCGCTCAATCTTCTTTGCAATTTCTCATGTCCACCCATGATCATGTCATCGGTTTTATTACAAGATATTTTAAGTATCTTTCGGGTATCATTTGTCCTATTTTTTATTCCGTCCATCAGAACCTAATCAATTTTTTTTTTTTATTTTGATGAAGAGAAATTAACGAAATAATTAATATCGCATACTAAACGACTAAATGTTTAGATACCGACAAAGCATATTAGACGGTGAGCAAAATTCGTTTTTTTTTTATATAAAAAAAATGCTCATAAAAAAATACGTAGGTAAATAGGTAATAATTGTATGCTTATAAGCCTGACGAATTAATTTATCCGAAGCACCCCCGACTGGATAATATTATATAGCGC